TCTTTAAAAAATACAAAATCTCATTCCTCCATCAAGGTCTCAGCACATGGTGTCCCAGTATCAACCTGCTCAGGCTCTGAACATTTTTGAGAGCTTCTTGAAGAAAACCTTCCTTTAGTTATCTTTCTCAGCGGCTGATCTGCCTACTTACCTACTGCCAACATCAAGGTAGAAGGATGGGCTACTTCTTGACGATCTACAGCTTATTACAAAAAGTCTTAATTTCTTTGGAGATAGTTCTTTTAAGGAGTCATTCATTCATTCATTCATCCAATCCAATATTGATGCAATACCAACTAAGCGCCAAGAACCAGGTAGAGCTAAGCATTAAACACTGTGAATTATATAATTAAATAAAAGTCTAAAATTCAATGTCATTTGCTTTGCTGGAAATTTCCACTTCATAAGAGGAGATGCTTCCTGGAACTACGACACTAGAGTCTACATCTAACTCTCCTCCCCGAGTGAAGCACTGAGCCCGAACAATCATTATTTTTTCCATGCCACATCGAAAGCTCACAGTGATTTTTCATTTTTAGATCATCTTCCCTAATCCAAAAGAAATTACCACATAATTTTAAAAGTTTAAGATACTAAAAATGAAGCAAAAGAAAAGTAGAAATTAAGAGTATACCTCCCCCCTAGTATCATGACCCCAATCTTGCCTTTCACTGTAGGTTAGGCTTGAGCATGTACACAGGTACAGATAGGAGCTCTGGACATTTGGAATCCAGGTCAGATAAACAGGTACAGAAATGGGAGTTTCAATACCAGGAAGGTAAAGAGACAGGTAGGAAAGGAGGGGAGAAGAAACCTGGTAGGGAAGAGAGACAGCGATTGGTATAAGATATGAAAATAATAACAATTTATAATTTATCAAGAGGTCACGAAGTTGGGAAGGGGAAGGGAGGGTAAAAAGAGGAGCTGATACCAAGGGCTCAAATAGAATGTAAATGTTTAGAAAATAATGATGGAAACATATGTACAAATATGCTCGATAAAATTAATGTATGGATTGTTATAAGAGCTGTAAGAGCCCCCAATAAAATTATCTTTAAAAAAAAATTGAGTGCACAAGATGGTTGTTGGTAGGTGACAACCATGGTCTTGGTACATCAATGCCCTATATGCTCTATTAAGATATGTATTATTCCAGCAAACCTGCCATGGATATTATTTTATTTTGTTTGTCTAGATTAGGGTGTATCTCAGAGATGTTATGTCATTGGGGGTCACCCTCTTGAAATTGTGTTCCATGTTTTTCTGGTTTCTGGTAAATGAACCCCACGATTGATGAGCAAGTAGAATAAGGGTTCTGTTGTGTACAGGGGTGGTGATGGGGTAAATGGGAGACGATGTCAAGGAGTTCAGGAAGAAAATGTATGTTTGGAAACTGATTGTGGGAGCAATTGTACAATTCTACTTGACATGATTGAACTGTGGAATATCTGTATTAACTAGTAATTCTTTTTTAAAAAAAGAAAGAAATTAAGAGTACAATTTTATAGACAGGAAATATATATAAAATTTTAAGTATGACTTTGGGGGTGGTGTGAATAGGGACATTTTCTCTGTGGAACCTATACATCAAACAAGAAGAGAACAAGGGAATACTGCACGGTTTAAAATCAGGAAGGACGTGTGTCAGGATCCGTTCACCACACTTATCCAATCTGTTATTCAATCTGCTTGCTGAGCAAACAATCAGGGAAGCTGGACTATATGAAGACGAATTTGGCATCAGGATTGAGGAAGGCTCATTAACAACCAGCAATATGCAAATGACACGGTCTCACTTGCTGAAAGTGGAAAGGACTTGAAGCACCGATGAAAATCAACAATGGCAGCCTTCAATATGGATTGCAGTTCACTGTAAAGGAAACAACAGTCTTCACAGCTGGATCAATAATAACATCACAACAAAAGGAGAGAAGGTTGAAGTTGTGAAGGATTTCATTTTACTTGGATCCGTAATCAGTGCTCCTGGAAGCAGCAGTCAGAACAATGTACTGCTTTAGGCAAATCTGCTACACAAGGCTCATGGGGGATACCCTGCCTAACCCAAAACGCGGTATCTTCAATTGCCCAAACACACACATGAAAGTTGGACAGTGGAGAAGGAAGACTGAAGAAGAACTGATGCATCTGGATGTTCATCGGTGTTAGCAGAGCACACTGACAAGCACTGTGGACTGGCAGAAGAGTAACCTATCTGTCCTGAAAGAAGTGCACCCAGAACTGGCTGATGAACGCAAGACGGTCGCGGTGGCAACAGGCTGGTAGCTGAAGAAACAACTGAATCCAACGCCAGCAGTCAAACGGCAATGACTCAGTGGGCCCCTTTGTGGGCATCTCTGATTCATTTATATAATAGATTGGTTATTTAATTGAGCCGTCATTCTCTCTGATACCGTACCCTGTTACGTTCCAAGATCTAACTCAGCAACTATGAAAAGCAGATATTCTTTGAACTGTTTTAAACATAAACATTTCAGTTTGGACACAGTCCAGGTCTGCTTTTATCTTTTCCAGAAACAGAAGGAGGAAAGGAAAGAGGAGAAGTGTAGGACACCTGAGAAAAGGCCCAAACTACTTTCCATTGAGTCTGTTCCAGATGTGGTGACCTCTTGTGTTTCAGAGCAGAGAACTGCACTCCACAGTCCTAAGTATCTGTGCACTCTGGCCTGGCTCTGTCTTGCTCGGGCAATGTTAACAAACTTTTTCGGGCTGTTCATAAAGGTTCCCAGGGCCCGCTACTCCGCCCTCAGCCTGAGGACACTCAGCTCCAGCTCCATGAGCCAGCAGTCCCAGCGCCAGGGGCACCCCCTCTGCAAGCCAGCCTCCCGCCCAAAATGCTCAGCTTGACTTGCTGGGTGAACTGGGAAGTCAACTGCTTTGCCTCACCTTCTGCGCCAGGTTCTTCCTTCTTCCTTCTACCTCCTCCTCCTCCTCTCTTCTTCTTCTTCTCTGCTGCTCTGCCACTCCCCAGATGGCAAGGCTGCTTCCTGGACCTAGGAGGTTTTGGGGCTGCAATCTCAGGGTACAAAGGATGTGCTCCACTCCTTTTACTGAAAGTGAGCGTCTCCCTTCCTACTTATGAGATAGCTCAGTTTATACCCAGATGGATAGCAATCACAATTAACTCTGTTCTCACATCTGAACCACAACACAATCAGCATCTTCCCCGCCTTCCTACCTAG